AAGAAAATAGAAAAGCTGACCGTGAATCTTTTACGTCGGTGGAGAAACTATGACGTTGCAGTATACGTAATTCATTGGATCCACGCGGCAAACTGATGCTAATACCTGGACGAAGCATGTCTGGTTTAATACTGTAGCATTAGATTTCGTGCGGCATACCCTGATTTTAATCCAAGATTTTGGGCGGAATAGGTTTGTTTATTTTAATATCTTTTAAAATGACCCCCGCAGTATGAAAACGGTATTCGCAGGTCTGTGAAATCGTTCGTTAAATAATAATGCTGATAAGAGATGATTTTAACCCTGCTGCCGGAGATGCGCCTGAGTGTATCCTTCGACAATTTCAATTGAGTTTCCGAAATTTAAATTCATTTTCAACCCGCTGAAGCGCACCAAGAAATTGATTCGAGTGTCTCGCGTCGCTCGCAGCATAAAATTCTAAACCTTCATGATTATTGAATCGTCGGTTTTCCATAAAATTAAGAGACGTTCAAACCAAATTCTTGTAACAAAGCTCATTTTCGAGACGAAGACATGACATTGTTGCTCTGCATGCGAATAACGTAGATACAGAATGTCGCGTGTGCCTCGCCTCGTTGTGATGATAGTTTTTGCCAAGAATAAGGGGTTCACGAGTCGTGATCACGACTTCCATCCTGGATACCGGGGGTCTCCGGGCCAATGGCGGTTGGGAACCTGTAATTTAGTTGCATCCAAGGCAGCATTTCTTTTGATGTCGAGATCAACCCGATGACTGCATTTCATTAGGATTGTTGCCGGTACGTTGGATGGCTCCGGAGAGTCTGATGGATGGGCTGTTCACTCACATGTCGGACGTATGGTCGTATGGCGTGCTTTTGTTCGAAATCATTACGTTCGGGAGCTTTCCGTACCAGGGGATGTCAAATAATCAAGTTTTGGAGGCCGTGAAGTCGGGACATCGTCTCACGATTCCTGCAGGAATTAGTGATCAGCTGTACGAAAATTAATCACAGATTTCAACGCATCCTCACACTTCCTGGCATGTTTACAGTTTGAAGCCGCGTTTAAGATGCCCGTATTTACTCGAGCACCACGCGCACCTTTTTTTCAAAATTGAGATGGAAGAAAGGGGTGCGAGTCATATCATCAGGGTAAATATCTTAAAAGGTTTCAGAAGTTCAAGTGTGCAATATATTTGATTTTGATATGCGATAATTTTGGATAATTTCGAAGTAAAAACGTATCTTGATGGAATTCATTAAATTTTATTCGGATTCAGGATCAAATCATGTCAAAATTCAAATTTCGGTGTTCTTATTTTTCAAATATTGTAGTTTTAGAGTCACCAGAAAAGGGACATGACAGCGTCTTACTAGGAATACAATTTTTGAAGAATTTTTTACTGAAAAACCCTGGCGCGCGTCTTACTCCAGAGCGCGTGGTACTCGAGTAAATGCGGTATAATATCACCGATCAATGACTATTTAAGAATGCTAAAAAATTCAAAGTTTGAACAGCTAGACTCAATCAAACATCAGCCAGATGTGTGATTTATCGCGTGACGGAATTACGTTTGCTTCGATACTCAAGAAAATCGCGTGATTGCGTGTTGGTCATTCATTCGTAAATCACGTCCGCATTGTCTCCCTTCTGTGACCAGAGTGACCTTATTGAGGTCGTGCTGGGACAGGACTCCAACGAAGCGCCCGCAAGCATCAGAAATATGCGAAATTCTGGCCAAATACCCCCGATTGATCTCTCCATGTCTCGATGTACCCGCTGCTTCAGTGGAAATTGAAAGCACAGATTCACTGGAGATCGTTGGCCCCGCCTCGAGGGATTGTCGCCGTTATTCCGAAGGTCGTCCTCGCTCTTGTGTCCAGCAGCGCAAGGCGGGAGCCGTCGTCGAGACAGTGAACCACCAACACAACAACCCGACAGCCATGCAATTTTCTTCTGGAACAGTGGAATTCGCTAGGTACTGGAAGGTCCGAGGAACAACCGATTCATGTCAGAAGTTCCTCGAGACTGATTCACGACATGGTTCCTCGCGCATTAAAATTATATTAAATTAAAATTATTACGAATGACAGCCAATTTTCGGGTTGTTGAGATTTGAAAACCTTTAACGAGAATTTGTGCTCATAAAGTCCCCAGCAGCATTGAATTTCGGATCGTTCCGTTGCTGTTTGGGTTCAATATCGTGGAAAACATTCGAATTAATAATCAATAAATTTATCTGAAACCTTAATTATAAGGACATCACTTTGCTGCTTATTTACTCTTTCTTCGAGTGAATCAGCGAAAATCGGCAAAATAGGCGTTGGTTTCTCGTCATCCATTACGATTTCTAGCCAAATCGTTGTTGAGTTATTGAATATCGTGTTAGTTTTAGGAGGAAGTTAAAACAGATCAAGTATTGTGCATCATGAGTAGAAGAATGAAGGTATGGACTGATACGCAGTTCAAACTTTTCGACGGACTGGAAAGAGTAAGGATCGGTCACAGGCCAGAGGGAAATAACCTTGCTTAAGGGACTCTAGTTGTATCCGGTTTTGACTCTCGAGTCTCGACGCAATTTTTTTCTCCATTATCGAAAAAAGTTTCTTGGGTCTATTTCCAGCTTCCATTTTGCTTTTGTTCACACTGCGTGAATGTACGATATATATGAGGTATATGGATAGACTGTGGCGCTCGATTAAAAGTATCTTTTAATGGGTTGAACAAACTTTGGATTTGTTCGCAAAATTTTGCGTGAGTTTGGCTGCATCTATGCAGCCGTTCATAAAGTTTGATGAGACATAAATATATCCATTAGGCACTGTTTTTATTACGGGCCTATTTCAAATCATATATCTCAGAATAAAAATGTTCTAGAAATGAATTTGCAAATCTGTTTTCAAACACTGCTGCGAGGGTGGTTGTTCTTTTTTATTAATTTCAAAAAGATTTCACGATACTGTACTCAGAAACATGTCTTAGCTGCTAATAAAGTAACTTCATAATTAAAAAAAAAACTTTATGAGTCGATAATTCCCCGAACAAAGGGCCTCGTAGATTGGATCGGCCGGTGAAAATGAGTTCACTTTGAATTTACAGTACTTATGTAGCAATGGAAGACGGCTGTACCCAGTTGTAGCTCACAATTAGTAGCGCAGCAGAATTTGAAAAATCGACTTTGAAAAAAACCACTGCTAATGTATGTATCTTTTCCTTTAAAAATTATTGTATAAGAGGCTTCTTCGATATGAGATTCTCTCCTGCGTAATCTATGAATAGATGAGTATCGAACTGTATGACATTCTTTGGCGTGTCTTATTCAGGTTCGGACCAGAGTCGCCGACGTCTCAGTCGGGATACATCAGTTTCTTGGACAACACCGGCGCCTACGCTCAAGGGTATGGGACGCCTCAAACTGGAGCTTCCATGGGACTCGGAGGACCGAACCGAAGATACTCAGGGACTTGGTTCAAGCGCAACTCCTTGTCCGCCTCTTCTTCAGCCGGGTACATAAGTGCTCGTCGCTACGTCATGATGCCAGGAAGGGAGACGGAATTCGCCAAAAGACGCTTGCATGAATACGGATCGAACCTCTAAACGCTAATTTGTTATTTTTCGTATATGAATGTACTGAAAGCTGGAAATATGGTGCCTGGATGAGAAGAGGACCCTCCGTTGAGGTTGAATTACGTGCTCACCAAGTCTGAAGGCTGAGATGTTCAAAAGCGATATCAGTATTTTTTGCGGAAAACGTGCTTCCCGACAGGAAGCCAATGCGTTTTCTGCACCTTTGAATGTACGATTCCGGTAGGAAGAGCCGAATTTAACCCCTTTTTTCCTCCGGGAATCTGAAACGTTGAACACTCGAGAGGTTTGCTTATTTTATTATTCTTTCATTAGAAGTAGAACGGGAGTGTAAGTTGTAGTGGGAGCATGTGGACCAGGAAGAATACGTGCGGGCTTTTAATGGTGATTTAGAGGCTTTGATTGTTGAAGGTGTGAGAAAATGATAGCTGTATTTCCGTGGTAATCTTGTCAACACGAACTTTGTACATAATGTCTCTCAATTCAGTTGCATTCTTTGATGGAGTTTTTTTTTTTTTTTAATCGGTCCGAAATCGAATCTGTTGCCGTGCAAGCGTTGTTGACCCTTGAATGTTATATGGATTGATGCGATGGATCTTTGTTCTCCAGGATCTTCGACGGTCTCAATTTGCTGCATTCTCGTGGATAAAAACTTTTTAAGGAAAATAAAGCGTCAAACTTGTATACCGCTGTCAATAAGGGTTCATAATTTATTTCAATGCACTCCAGCGAACAATGGTTCTCAATCCATGGTTATATACAATGCATGGTTCCAGTGGTTTGTCAGAACTGTGATGCCTTGAATCAAGTTCTTCGAGTCACAAGTTTTGAGTCGGAATCTTTTAAACCTGCGCAGGTTGAATGGCAAGACTTTATTCGTCTTTTATTTCAATAGTATCAATGCATTTTTAAACTTTTATTCATCATAATGAACATTTTATCCAATCTATAGGATATAGGACCTTTTTCAGCACTAAAAATACTGTAAACACATTGCTGACAAGATTATAACTTAAATTGCCGACAAGAGGAATTATCAATCAATTGGAGATTTTGGTAGCACTCAAGCTGATCTCAAAATCATTTAACAAAGCAAGTTTGAAAAGTTGACCTCAAATCCTCACGAGTGTGGAGCAAACATTCAACTCTCTGTAGCGTCGATTCCAACCTTGAGGAGAAAAAATTGGAACACTGGAAAAGGAAGGATCAAATAATTATCTTCAAAAATCATATCTATCCAAAAAAAATCTCCAACACTCTATGAACCAATAACATTAGGTCCTCCAGCAGCAACTCAGTCACAGCTATATGCAGTGCCCTATATGAAATTCGACCTCTTCTGTCTTAATGGGGAAGATTTTTTAGGGGCTGAGGATTTTCTTCATTAATCATGCACCGCTTTCATTGTCGACAATTGAATTTGAAACGAAGGAAACATTTCTAAAAATTTTCGCTTTATTCTTCTTCTGTACATCGTTTCTTGTCGCATGAATGTTATATCTTACTGACACTGGTACAATCGATCTTCAAGCTCAACCCGATCGAAAATCTGGAAATGTTCCTGCTTCTAAGAGACGAGTATATATTTTTGCGGAGAAACGAACAAGCAAGACATCAGATAAAATGTGATAACAGTACTCGCGCCGGCGAAAGGGAAGCTGCCGCAGAACTCATTGGTGCAAAAGAGATCTTTCCAGCTGGACTGGGATTCGCGGCACTTTGCTAATTTGGGATTAGGAAGAGGAATGAGTGAGTGGGTGCAAACCGCAGGATTGTCAGAGGCTGTGCGTCTCCATTCGGGTGAACATTGCATTGCCACTAGCGCAATTCAAGACTCCTACCACATTTCCTCATCAGTTCGATCACGGTTGCCCTATTCCTACAAAAATAAACCGGAATCTATACGATGAAAAAAAAACTACTCGCCAACAAACGTGTTCATATATCTCTTAATCTTCCTCCTCTGAGAACATCCGGTTAAATGTGAGGGACCTCTGCTAGCGGAACCGTGGCGACGCAGTTTTGTTCCAAGAATAGCGATACAGCTTTCCTACGTTTTCCCCACGCTCCAACTCCCGCACATTTACATGCTCCATGCTGCCGCGGAAATAACGAACGAGTACACCTCTTCTTGAATATTGTCGATGAAACATCTGCATTCTAGAGAGAGAAGAAAATGAAAACGGGAAAATGTGGAGCGCGCATCCGTGGCCGTCCTCAGCCTCAATACCATAATCTTGACACCGAGGTCACCACACAGACCTGCGTAAGCATGCCGAAAGGCTCGACATCTACGGAAAAATAAAGCTCTAAGCGTCTTGCTGCCACACGAGTAATGCTGCGACAGATTACGCACACCGGTGGCGAAAAGCAAAACCTCAAACACTGGCCACCTATACACACCCGAGCCTTCAGCGTTTACCCAGCAACTGACCCGAGTACGCGGGTACCACGCCCAAGTCAGCGCCAGCACCAGCACCCACATTCAGAGACCACAACCACACAGAAACAACACTCAACACCCGTGACGAGTAGCCTATCGCTGCCACGTTTTTTTTTTCCAAAATATTTTCAACATCAACAATAAAAATCGTTTCCGAGTAGCCCAGCACCATATCGCTGTACCACTCGGCAGAGGCACAGAGACACGGGCTTCCTCAGGAACAAACCCGATTCCTTTCTCCGAATGGAAAACGAACGAGCGGAGAAAAAGAGGACCTACTGCTCAGAGCTCGGTTAGGGTCTGCAAACTGCGTCCCTCTTACGCTCGTGGACAGCATTTGAAACTTTGGGAACTGATCCCTGGATAACGCACGCAAGTCAAAAAACCTCATGCATGCTGTGCTGGCGGGATGAATGAAAATATAGGACGACGCCCAGCTCTTGCATGCCTGTCCTGAAAAGGTGCCGGAGTCTTGAGCACCCGAAAGTGTTGTTCTTTGGCTGCCCTAGATCTTGTTGGGTACGACAAGCAAAAGTATAATTCGTCGGCAAATGAACAAGATCCGCATTGCAGCCTTCTTCTGGCTGTCGGAAGCTTTCATCTGCGACTGTGAGCTCGGAAGATTGGATTCGCCTACTCTTTCCTGCCTAAGCCGCTTGTAACCTCGATAACTCTTTTTTTCACATTCGAGTTCCAAGCAAGCCCTCGAGCTTCAGAAGCACCTTTGCATTCATTAAAACGTCGTCTTTTTCTCAACAATGACGCCCCCTCGACGAAGCTTTGACAATGAGCCTGATTACAGGTCTTTGATCAAGGGAACAGGCCTCTCAGCGATGCCCAATATTGTCATTAATGAACAGAGAACACTGAACACCGGGTCTAACTATCGAATGGTTGACGAGTGCTTTGCGATGAGAAACCGGAAAACTTGAGCGTCAACACTGAGTCCACCGGATGATTCAGGATTTTCGGAAGATCAGAGAGTAACACATTATAAAACTGCGCTCAGGGAAACTCCTTGCTACTACGCTTAGGTTAATGCAGAGCTGAGCAATCCGCATCCAGTTAAGATTGACGCTGCATGACAAACACGGAGTATCCTGAGGTTCTCCGAAAGATGCTTCGAGGGAAGGACCGTAGCGCGAACCTTCCGCCGCACTTTTGTGAAACTGTCACAGATAGGAGAGTTTCGTGGGAAGTCTCGAACCTTGCGACTACTCATTTGCACAGGCTCGAAGACTCCCTGAAAAGCAGGAAGGCAGCGGATCAAGGAAAATGTGCCGCTGACGCAGCGAAGCTGGCGCGAACAGTAACGACCACGCGTACGGGTTCGGAACATTTCTGAACAACGGTCCCGTAGAAGCAGTGCAGGTTTAGGATGACTTTCACACTGTCTTCTGCTGTTTCTTCCTCGTGCTCATTGGTGTTCACCGTCAAGCGCGTCGAGGTATTTTCGGTCGATGATGTGGGGAATTATTCTATGCCTAAAAAAAATAATAAAGGATGTGTTCACCATTCATGATTCTCGAGAAGGATTTTACAAAGCTTACCGGATCGGAAGCATAACTAGGAGGAGGATTGGGAAGATCATCTTCATGTAGGGCCACGGCGAGAAGCCAACCATGCACATGATCAACAGCTGAAGAACTTGACAAGCCGTGAATTGATGCATTTTCCTTTGCGGGACTCTTCGGATGTAATGATTCGGAGGATAGGCAGCCTATGAAAAATGTATTGTAATCACATTTTGTCCCAACGAGAGCTCGAGATCTACTCTCTTCATGCCCGCTCAATTGAATCTGAAGCGTGACCTTCAGAAGACACTAAACCGTCAATAATAGCGACATACGACGCAAGCCGCGTAATGAAATTAGATGAAGACTTTTTTCATTCTACTGTATCAACAATGGGGCAAATCCGTTAGAAATTTAGTAGAATCAGACCTGTTCCATGAATAGAAGAGTTATGCGCTCAAACATTTGGTTTCCATTAAGAGCAGTTACTGCCATGTAGAGGAAAAGACCGTCGAGCACAGCAGTTGGAATGTATGCCATCGGGTAGGGCAGCAGGAAAATTGACAGGCCAATGAGGATGTGAGATGCTATTCCAGTGATTCGTGTTTCTCGGACCTTCACAATGCTGAAATTCAAGAGCAAAAAACAGATTTATGCATTTTCAGGATTTTATGGAAACCATATGGTATAGCAGTATATAATTCCTGGATTGCGACGTGACCATCAAGTTTAATTTCATTGAAAAAACAAGTAGTTTCCGTCCATTTTCAAGTAATCTCGGAGCCTTTTTTAAAATCAATCAAGGTTGAGATCATGATGAAAATTATTTTTGGGGTTTTCAATTTTTTCAGACTAGTTCTACATATAAAAATCGTATATATTTGTTTTACCAAACTTTCAATTGTTTCTTCGTGCGAAAGCATAAATTTATTTCCGTTTCGTCACTCACTTTTTTTTTAGAGAATTAATTTTTCTTGGATCACCAGGGGAGTCCGGAGAACTCCTGCAATCCCGCATCTTCGTTCTTTTTTTTTCCAGAGAAAAGCAGTCAACTTACTTCTTAGGTTTTTATGCACACGGAGTGAGTCATTCGCTTTATCCCTCTTATGCTAGTCTTCTCCAGTATGTGTAAAAAGGACAGGAGGTGAATAATACAGTACTGTACTGTAACCTACATCTCGTAGACGTGTCCCTGATCCACGCGTTCCTCCACATCTGCCAAGCTTCGCACGTGAAGCGGGGAATGCGGAATCGCAGCATGCATCCAGGGGAACCCAAGCGCAGACAAGAAGCCGTTCAAGATTGCTACAACGAACAAATCTAGGTGATAAGCCGGCCCCTTCTTCAACCTGCACGAGAAAAAAAAAAAAGTCAGCGAGGATAAGTTCCTGAGACTTGTATACCCGTCCGCGTCAGTCACACGCACTTGTTGCAAGGGTTGTTAACCATCGCACTCGTGATATTTTGATCCATGAAAAATAGGAGGGATATGATAAACCCCAGCCCCATGGCACCGAAAATAGCACCGGTGGATAGGGTGTCTATCCTAGCGAGATTGAAGACCTTGTGCGTGTCGTACTTGAAACGTTCCACTGCGAAAAGGATACTCCACAATTATTAAACTGCTCAAATCAATAACATCGGCACACTCACAGTGAACATCGCGGAAAAGGAAGGATCCCACGAAACTGAGCAATAAAACGGAAACTGGCAGAGCGTAGTCGGCTAGCGCCTCTCTCTTGCTCGCTTGAAGATATGGCCTGAATAAAACCATAAGAACATCCAGATGTCAGCCCTAAATCGCAGAAAACACCTCTTCGAAGGTAACGGAAAAAACGCCTGTCAGCACAGTACAGCATGTAACAGATACACACTAAGGAACCCGCAAAAGTAATTTTTTTTACCATGACCCGTTCACAGGACTTTACAGGGCGACGAAATTAGTCGAAGGCTTTCGCAAGTGCTTCTTAAACTGTCTTCAGTTCCCTCAAAATCTTAGTGTTCCTGCAGAGGAAATCGAGAGGCCATGTGTGTTGCGGAGGTACAGTATTGTTTTTATATACAGTCTTTCAGATTATGGGTCACTACAATTTGAGTAAAAATTTGGGATATGAATTGACTACTTGGCGAAAAAAATACGGGCAAGTTCATGAAGTGCATTCTGGAGTTGGTTTTTCCTCCGTTCGGATAGCGTGAACGTTCTTCTAACCGGGTCTTTCATGAGATGCGCATATTTTTCCATTTCTCAGGGGAAAGAAGTTATTTCATTTGATTAGAGTGATAGTTTTTACGCGGGTTGTGCTGCTCACGTTTTATTGAAGTTGTAGAGAGAAACTCCGAGCCATAGGGTGCCGAACATGAGGAGTAGGAAGAGGATGCTGCTTTCTCTGCGACAATGCTCCTGCGGCGGATTAAGGGGGATGTCGGCATATTCATTGATCCTAGGCATGGCGAACGGTGGCTGGCTTGTCACGTTTCCGAGTTGCCACTGAGGCAGCAGGGATTTCGGCGTTGTCTCAGATGTCACTCGAGCCTCGTTGGCCGTCGGCAAAACCGTGTGTCCGAAGTTGCTCTGGTTAGCATTGTGCAGAGCATTCTCCAGATGAGTCAGTACTTGTTGAGACACAGAATGGTTGCTCGTCACATTCTTAAAATCACACGCTTTTGAAAAGTAATTATTTGAGAAATCTGCGAACACAAGCGTCAGGCATTAGTCAACGCAAACTCTCGGACGCGTGATAAAACCCTCGGAACCCACCTTTCGCCACGTCTCTGAAAGCGTCAACGCAAAAGGCCACTGAGATAAAAAGTGCGAAGATCTCCTCAGTGGACCTTGTTGACCAGCGCATCAGCCGACTCAGGCCAAACAGAGAGTAAAGGATCAAGAAGAACGAGTTCCATATCCCGACGCAACAGTACATCGCAAAGAAGTCCAGATGAAAATCATCACAGATGCTATGAATGACTGGAGAGAAAGAAGATAGCTAATTAATTTATTCGTTCTCCATCCCAGGAACCTCTAACGAATGGATAAACTCTATGCGCCAGAAGCTGCGATCAATGTTCACCAGCATTAACCCCAGCTTACCTATACGTAATGCCACTGTCATGACTGATCCTTGCCGAGATAATTCGGGACACGATTCAATGCATTATATCTATTGAATGGATCCCACATCGTGTTTATGAGCAAGGTCGGTTCCCAGCGAATCATTTATCGCGCAATAATCTTAGAATGAGTCTCTGCGAAGACCCGCAGAGGAAATCGAGAGGCCATGTGTGTTGCGGAGGTACAGTATTGTTTTTATATACAGTCTTTCAGATTATGGGTCACTACAATTTGAGTAAAAATTTGGGATATGAATTGACTACTTGGCGAAAAAAATACGGGCAAGTTCATGAAGTGCATTCTGGAGTTGGTTTTTCCTCCGTTCGTCTCTGGGAAGCCCCCCCCCCCCCCCCCGTCCTCTCGCATAGAATAACTCGGAATAACATGCGATAGCATCGCAGAATCTCTATCCGATGAAAATACGCTGCATACTCGTATATTAAATGCATATCTCCAGGTCCTGGAAAAATGATTTCTTATTCGTGTTATGTAAAGGAAGGGAAGATTTTTGAACGAAATGCAAGGGCTAGTAAAAAAAATAACTCCGCCGATCAGCGCTTTGCGCGATAATCATGGATCGATTAATTTTTTCATCATGAAGGTTAAGGATGTAATGAGGAGGAAACGAAGTGGTGGGACTTACTTTTAATGTATATCGCCAGCGGAGCTGTCGTCAGAACAATCATGAGAGGCTGGCCGCTGAACACAGCATACAGGAAACCACCCACTGTTTGCCCCAGGATGACTTTCTTCACATCTGCAAATGACGAGAAATGGGCTCAAAATCCCCGCTGGAAAGTTTCGCGTAGGAAGTCGGAGACCCGCTGCTACACTGCGACATCAAAGGGACACCTTCAGGCACCAGCACACGACTCACCGATTTTCCCTCCGGTGTTGTGATCGTTGAGAACCCCGAACGCAATGGCTGGTAGAATACAAGCGAAGTAAAGGAAGAAAGTCGTGGACACGACCTTCTGAATCGTCTTGCGATCCGCAATGCCATCCCTGTAATCACTGGCATAGTAGGGAATTCTCCGCGCTAAGTCATCCAAGACGTCTCTTCCGAATTGGCACCATGTTCCCTCCTGCAACATTCCAGCGGAGAAAAGCGAATTAAGGACACTCTCCGGGGATTCATCAGCCGAAGGGGGGAGGGTGACAAGCATCCCTGTGGACGGCGTGTTATCGACAGGGATTTCCTTGGTTAGGAGAGGAATTGCTGCTGAATTCATAACCGACGAGGGGAAAACGGATTCCATGACCACAGCTCAGGCATAAAAGGGAGCGCCAGCGGTCTTAGATCTATATGAGGTTCCTTCAAGAGCAGGAAACTGCCAGGATACTGCCTCACTCACAATTTCACAGTCTGGGTGGAGTTCACCAGTATGGTTCTCCAGAAAACGCTTCTCTGCGTTGCTCTGCTCAGAAGCCAAATCTTCGGCGTGCTTCATAAGGACCTTCTTGAAATCGTCTTCCGAGTGAGCCTCCAACAGTTTCTGTCTGATGTCCATGTCAGCAAAAATAGTCGCAAAAGTGCGCCCGGTCTCCAGAGCATTCTTGGTTCCTTTCTGCGAAAAGAAATATGCAAGGAAGAGAGTGAACATCACACGAAAGGAATTTCTAAAAAGATATTAATGTTTGAGCAACGCCAACGCCGCGGGATAAGCTCTTGTGACACCTTCCACCTACCTTCAACCGGAATGATGTACTGGAGAAAACGAAATTTCAACAGAAAGTTCAAATACCTCTCATTACACGAGATTGAATATTTATACAATAATTGTATTCGCACAGTCTTCCATGAATATTCCAGTACATTAATTCGAAGCAGATATGACCGCATACCTTCAACTGAGGAGTGTAACGCGTTTAATGCTGGTATTCAGCAAATATTCTTGATAAATTTCCACTTGCTTCAGATTCTTCCGTGCGCATTTGAATATTCAACGATGTAATAAGTACTGCAATTTAGACTACACAGATTCAGTGTTCATAATTTATATCCATTTAAAATGTTGACCCTTGCAGGGTGAATTGAAGTTCCTCATATTTTTTCGATATAAATTTTTGATGCAGGTAATTCTCAGAAAAATCTTCAACTTTCGTTGCTCGCAACATCAAGCCAAAACATCTGTTTTTATCTTTGGTTTTCATAATTTTTTTCAGAATGTTTGAAAACGCATGAATTTCCTTTAATATACAGCAATTTTTCTTTCATTGTTATCATCGCAGCCACTTCAATTACTGTTGTACTAATACTTGACAATTACTGTTGTACTAATACTTGACAATTACTGTTGTACTAATACTTGACAATTACTGTTGCACTAATACTTGAAAATTACTGCTGTACTAATACTTGACAATTTCTGTTCCAGCTTCATCTAACCAACACAGCCAACCAAATTTACGCAATCGAGTGCAAAAACGTTTGACCTAAGATTGCATTCAATTTCCATTGGTTAAGGTGGTAAGTGGATTACCGAAGAAAGTAAGACGCGTTTACCAAGAGGCCTCCAGAAACCGGGTCGGTTTCTCAATTCTACTCTTTCCTATATTCCTGAAAATCCCCCACAGGAGATTCCTTTGAGGGTGCCCCCGCCTTCAAGGCCTCTGGTCGGAACGTGACCTGCTTTTGTCCGAGCACAACTTCATTGAAACGGAGAAAAGCCCCTGCTTCTTGAGGCTTTATGCTCCCACAAAAAAATCATCCCGCGTCTGCTGTTGAAACCGTATCTAACCGGAAAAGTAATCCGTGATTTGAGATAGACTCGAGCAATGATATTTGTACCACTCTCACCGCAAAGGAAGGTCGTGAATATTTTTATGAAAAATGATCCGAATTCAAATGAAATATGGTTACCTCGGGAAGGAAAATAGAAAATAATACCAGAATAGGCTTACTTCCGCGGAGAACTTCACTCGACAGAAAGAGAAAGAGAGAGAGGGAGGGAGAGAGAGAGAGAGAGAGAGAGAGATATCCTACGATTTTCCCAGAAAAAAAAGCTACACTAAAAGGAAACCTCAGTTAAATAAAACGTGCATAAACCCGTAGCTGCATTGAGTTCGAGCTCCATATTAATGAGACCCAGTGTTCTATTGAGCAACAAGCGGAGAGATTTTCCCTGATCGCGCGAATGAAGCTAGCAAATGAGCAGGTCATTCAGGGATAATCTGAGGCACCCTGAAACCGTGGCCGAGAAGAGAAGTCCGGCTTTTCTCCTCGTATCTGTCAGACAAGATGGCTTGCGGCCGTTCTTTTTGTAGCTTCGCCATTTTTGCGGGTAGGGCTTTTTTCAGAAACCAAATGCCACATGTTGAAAGTCATCAATCCTGTGGGCCATATTGCTTCCCATGAGGATTTCCCCCATATAAGGGTAATCCCTGGAGCTGATGATGTTCTTGGCTTCGCGCAGAACGGTCAGGAGAGAATCGGGGCGGCCAAAAATCTGTACAAGACTCAAGTCATCTTTCAGACGTACCGCAGGGCCCAAGGAATTCAATCTTTCTCTAGGGGAAGGGAAACGGGAGCGGCAGATATATATTTTGGTTATTTTTCTGCTTTGTACACTTGTCTCTTGCCAGGGCATACTGAAGCCACCACACGGCTGACTGATGAATCCTGGCGCCCCATTCTTTCCCCCGCGACGCGATCCTCGCGTAACAAGAGAACTCGCCCTAACAAGCATGATTCCCCCCACGGTGCACTCCATGTCAGGCCGGATATTGCCGGAATTTTCACTCACCGCCTTGCTGGGGCACAGGACGAGGATGAAAAGTCGAACTTCGTGTGACGTGGAGCCCATGTTTGCCGGCTGCTTCAGCCTCGCTATGGCCACTTTCCGACGGTTCAACGAAGGCAGATTGCACCTGGAAATGCGACCGGTCTTGTATTGTAAACAGTACATGCATCTGTCAACGGGACTACTCACACTGCGCAGATCCATGATTGATCGTAGTCGAAAACGCCTCCTTCGGTTAAGCACGTGGCCTGGATCGTTCGGGCGAGCAGCGGCACTGTGGAAATACGGACCAGGTGAGTTATCTATGAGCAGGCGAAGCGGCGATTTGGGTCGCGGGAATGACTATACCGTCGATGGGTACCGTCGAAACCCAAGGGGTTCCTGCTCATGTACGATTCTCGACTAAACATCTTACGTATCTTTCATTCACACGCCGGAAACGGGCTTTCAAGTTCTCCACGATATCGCTGCTACGCGGCGCAGGGTCATTGGAACAGGAAATCGGATATGGGAGTCGGGAATGAGTAACCCCGAAAAGCCCATGCATGGAAACCTGTCGGTGTCTCGGGCTTTTCTGCTGAAACCCTCGGCAAAGCAGTTCACAAATTCAGCCCCATATTCTAACGAACGAGGTCTCGTTTTCTTATTTGCCTGCCTACTAACTTTCGGTATTGCAGAGAGACCAAATTTAACTTCACAGTTCTTTTTCTCATATTAAAAAAAAACCCTTGAAGCTCTCGTGGAAAACTATGGCTGCTGGTTTTCTCTGAGTTACTACGCTTTTGTATAAATGATTGAAAAGCTTCATTTATCATTCGAGTCGAAACCTATGAGGTTTTTATTATAAACAATGCTGGGATTTAGAGAGTTCGGCTCAGAAGCACAGCTATTTTGGAAGTCAATTTATTTTCAATTAGGATCCTTACTGGCTACACGAAAATATTAGTGAAATACCTTTACTATGATGTACATTTCACAAGAATATTTCACCATTTCTGTCACATCACAGGTAAGATATCATGTAAAAATCGTGCTTCTCGTGTAAGACTGACGGTTTGGGTTTGTAAATTAATTACGACATCTACCTCATATGTGTAACGTCGAAATCAAAAATACTCGTATGTTGCGCGCGTTGCGTTCCGCGGAAACCAATTCACGTTTTTTACTTTTGGAAATTTTCGACTCGAGAAAAAAATACTATTGCTCAAGATCGATTGCGACAAATGACATTAATATAGTATGCATTAATGTAAGGTTCAGTTTTATTGATTACATGTCACGCAACCGAGGAAGTAAGTCGCTCATTTTGTTTTCATTGCAGTCAATCATGTCCCTATTCCATGAAATGGCTCAACCAAACCGGCTCGAAAGCAAATAATTAATTTCTACGTTTCAGGTCATTCGCCCTTTTTCAATTTAGTGATACAGATCTTGATTGTGGCTTCATTACAAATAATTTACTCCAGAAAAGCAAGTTTTTTTAGTGAAGTAAATTTCGACCATATTTCTTTACGCAAGAGGCGCTTGGTGCAATAAAGGTTATTTTCGTCATCCAAGCTTGAAACGCAGCCACACCTAGGGTTCACAAGGCGTTGATAAATCCATGGCGAGTACCCGGCCGTTATTGATGACTGCCATATCAGTGGCGTGCTCTCGCCAGGTCGGAACTGAAACCGGTGGAGTTCGTTCTCACCGGCTCACTTTGACTGGAGCAATCGGATGCATAATTTAAACAAGCTTCACTGCTTTCCAAAGTGTGATCAATGAACATTCAGACCCTAACGCAGATTCAGTGACAGGTGCTGCAAATAAATCCCTCTCAAACGGATCTCCGCACCGCAGCCTGATCCGTCGTCCTTTGCGACGGATCTATAATTTATTGCCAACTCTTGTCTGGGAAAATCCCGAGGGGTCTCGGGCCCCCGGAAATGCTGCTTGACGAGTTCCATTGAATTTTCGCGGCCGACAGAAAGACAAACGACGCCGAGATTCTCGCGTCGCTGACATCGCGACAGCTGAGCCGCGAGTATCCCGTGCTGCTTACGGGGGATCAATGCAGTGTAGCGGCAAGATATCCTTGACGATGTGCACTTCAGACTGAACATTGATTTAATTAGTTTTGGATAACCAATGCGAAACTAGATTAGCGTCTGCTGAGCGAGTCGTCAGTGACGCGAGCAGCTGGGAGCGAGATTCGCCTTACTCTTTGGATTGTTCCTTCCCGAGGCACCTTCCTGTTCGTACGTGTCAACAATGATTCAGATCAACCGTATCTTAGAAAAATAGACCGAGTGCGTTACTTCTTCGTCCCAAGGCCGTATTGCAAGGACGTGTCGCAAGTTCCATTGATTCTTGGGCATAGCGATTCATTCATTGTGTTAGTGTAGTCGGGTCAGTGTCAGCCAGAGCATGTTTCATGCCAAGATTTGATTCGATCTGCTGGCCTTGAAAGGCAGGAAGCGAGAAGTGCGCACTATTGCAGCGAGAAGCATGCACTTTCACAGAAATTCTCCACTGATTGAATAGAACGCATAGAGCACCATACCTGTCAAAAACATTGATGATGAACGATTGTACCATGTGTCGTATTGTCCACTTGGAGCCTCGAGTTTACTTTATCCTCGCATACTTCAATTAATTGGTGAACTCTGAGCTTAGTGCGATGGATTGCCTGTGCGTTTTGAGACTACCGGTATTATCTATGAATATAGGAGGGATTTTTTTTTTAGTTGTTGCATCGCTTCCTCAACAAAGGGTACATTTAGTTTATTTTCTGAAAATAAATTCAATGCATTGACAAGTCTACTCTGGAATGACCTCCATTTTTTAAATGAGGGGTCGTGAGAGGTTTGTGCAGTTGAAGCTTCATTTTCATCTGGGTGAGAAAAAGCGCTTTGAAAATTATCAGAATTGCTCAACATACGAACCATTTCTGCTAAGCGAGGAGACACTTCGGTCGGCCGGATATTTTGAAGCATACGAAACCGCATTGCTAATACGTACTCAAAAATCATAATCGTAATCAGGGTCATAATTTAAAAAAGGCACCATTCATAAAATAATGCGCTGTGGAACTGGAATTTCCATATCCGGTACGTGAACAGTATTTAAAAAATTCGATGGATCTGCCAGAACGAAGAAAGAGCTACTCGAGTTAATCAGAGGGTCTTTTCGCTAAATCCGCCAGTTACACTCACGAGGGTTCTTCATGGGGTTAAAAACTTTAAGTGGAACTCAATGTGTTTGAGAATATGTCAGTTATCGTGAAGCAGAGTTTCCCAAACATTTTTTGGGGGGCACCCGATGCTCTTTTTTTTTCAAGTAATGCATTTGGCGGAACCCCTATCGTGCAAAGGATGCTGTATACTGTAAAAGCAATACTGAGTTCTCTCAATGCATAAACTGCTGTCAATTCCATAAATTTAATTTTTCAGTGCTTTTTTGGCTACTCTTCACGTTATTTTGAAGATCGTTTCCAAAATAATTTTTATAGATAAGTGCAATGTTGAGGATAAAAATGACATGCTTGTGGATGCATTTTCGCCGATGCTTTATTTAGGGTTAACTTGACTGCGGCAAGATTTGTTTCCTCTGCATATTTCAAAAGTTTGACGAGCGCTAAATTTATTTTAAAATTCCGCATTATTGCGCCATTAAATTAGCCAATGCCGGTCTGCTAAATAAAGGGCGGTATTCAAATATGAAAATTTCAATTCGCAGTGCATTTTTTTTTTCATTTACTAGATTTTGATTTTTTTAATTCGCTTACTTCAAGCAATATCCATGCCCTTTATTATCATCAAGCGTTTAAAGAGCATTTGGATGATCTCCGCAGGCAGAGAACAAGCCTTTTGAGAACTACTACGGTGTAGAACAGTGTATTTTGCTCGTTTTCAATGACTTGGTCAGTTCGCACTTACGCAACAAGAGCCTGTCGCATGAGAGAAAACTGAAGATTAAAAATATTTCATCGACGTTCGTCACAAGTATCTTCATCGGTCATCAGGAGGAACTTGAAACTGGATTTACAGGTTGGTCTCATCTAAGTATTTGCCAGCGCCCTTCGATGGCGCCGCGTTGAGATCTATGAGTTCTTTGCCAGCAGCGAGGAGATCCCGGAGCACTGCCTCTTCGTACATAGCCGCAACAAACAACTCGAGAATGGATGGCCTCGAGCCGGAGTTACTACATCGGGAAGTTATATTGATGAGCTGAAAAGTTTCCCCAAACGTTTGAGGCGTTTCTGATCTGAAGCGGGAAGTTCGCGAAGATCGAGTGGTTCGCGAGGAATGGGAAAGGCATTACCGAAATGTCTGTATCCATTATTGGCTAGTCATTCTGCCGCGCACCGAAACTTCCCGAGGAAAAACTCAATCTATTTCTTCGGGGGATCTTTTACCATTCTCCGAATTCAAACAATAGTCTGGCGAGAATCAGACGACTGAATGCGTGATGGAACGATCTCCGAAGGGCGTCTGGACGATCAGGAGCCGTGGAGTCTTTTCTGGATCAGGCATATTTATCATACCGGTGGTGCCTTTGTCGTACCACTGCAAGTGATTGGATGCATGAACATCCCACTTCTTGCGAGGAAGTGGGCTTTCGGGGAATCTGGGCGCAGCTCAGTCGCCGGATTGTCACGCTTGTCCAACCAAGTTTGACATGAGTCAGCGAACAAAAACATTATGGAACGAGGGTTTTTGGTTCGCAGAGGAGTTTATCTGATGTTGTCCATCAAACACGTACTTCCGCTTCTCGATGACGGGATGACAGAGCAAAGGACGAGAGTGACCTTGAGTTCCTCGCGCCAAGATTTGCGACGTGTTCGACGTCACAGGGTCATAATATTGATTATCACGTCAGCCAACGTCAGGAGAGAATACTAAGGACAGTACAAGGGATTCTTTCGCCTTGGCGAGGCGGCGGAATAACGCATTTGTGACCATCAGTGGTTGCCGGTTGGCATTGAATCTAGAATCGGAAACCCGGCTGAAAGTTGCCCGAGGGATCCCGGTCCCGCTTTCAAAGCCCCTCGCGTGGGCGGATGGTCACGCGGAAGTTTTTTCCCCGCGGTGACTCAGCGTGATAAGTTGTCATCATGCCAAAACTTGGCGAAGATGTAATGGAAAGGCGTATCCGGGGACGTCGGGACACGGCTGGGAAGGGATGATTCAACGGATGCTATCAGTGGGCCATGTCAATGT